GAAGAAACAGTTCGGTCAAATGGCTGCGGAAAAATGGTGGCAAGCAAATGCGAAAAACCATTAAGCAGTGTGAGTGTGAAAAGAAGTAGTTCTGTTGGATGGCTGAGTTTTTCCGCTCGCCGAGAAAGTCAGTGAGACTTGAAAAACAAAATGTAACAGTAGCCGTGGGCAGGGATGCCGTCTCATAGTTGGCAAACTGCGCGGCGGCTGCCGTAGAGCTGGAGGTTGGATGTTGCTGTAGTTAGCCAATGCGGTGTGAGAGGCTGTCGCGGGACCGTGAACGTTCCCTAGTGTGAGTGGTAGTGTTGATGTGGGTTGCCGGGGTGGCTTGTGGTGGAGGGCCTGTCCAGTATGAGTGTAGGCGTTCTGCGTCTTGTGGTGGGGTACGTGGTGAAGGAGAGGGTGAACGGCTGGAAAGTCCGGGCGGTAGTGGAAAACCTGGCGGTATGTTGTGGATAATGGCCAGGTTGCTGCTGGAGAGTGTGGCTGTGGGGTTGATGCGGTATTGTCCTGGGAGCCCGGGGCCGGTGGTAACAAATTGAAGGAGCCGACGAGCCTGGGAAAGGTTATCGATCAAGCGGTCCAGCAAGATCAGGTCACCGCGCAGTCGGTAAAGGAGGTTGTATGCTCTCTGGTCTTGAAAGTGAGTCTGGCTTGGCATAGGTTCAGTGTGGAATGGGTGACGGCGGAGGTGTTGGGTGACCAGCAAGAGGAGGTCCAAAGGTTGAGGGATTGAAAATCGGGCTGAGTGCTCATCGAAGGTTGGAGCCAGCTCGGAGGGCGCTGTGGGAGGTAGTGTTCTGTATCGGGGGGGTTGCTATGAGGGCGAGCGCGAGGATTGGCCATGACAATTGATGGAATAAAATGGCGTACAAAAGGCTGCGGAGCTGAAGTGAGCCTGAAAACTGACAAATCAAAGTTGGGCAACCTGGTGAAAGTAGATTGGATGTTAAAAACCAAATGTCAGTGCGGGTCAGTAGATTTGTCCTGCGGCACGCCGTAAAGAAAGGTGGGTGAAACGGGTCAAATGAAATAACTGACCACGGGCGTAAGTGGAGATTTCTCCGGATGACTGTCTTCACTAAGGTCTCGCTCAGCAGCCGGCGGCAGCAGCACAGCAGCAGGAGTCGTTGGATGTTGTGAAGTCGGTGGCGTTGTTATGGGGGAAGGGGAGAAATCCGGTTGTGAATGTGGTGCTGGGGAAACTGCTGGTGATGTGGGTGTTGGTGAGGGGGAAGGTGCTTGTCTTGGTGGCGCGGTTGGTAGTGGTGTGGAGAAGAGTTGCTGGTCCTGCTGACGTTGCATGTCTTTGAGTCTTGCCATCGGGCTTGGCATTGCTCAACGGAGAAGCCCACTCGGCGAGCCACAGTGGTCCAGTTGGGACGAAGTTTGGGGTTTTCTTTGAGTTCGACCAGGCGACAGTCAGCGTCGCCGTCCCAAGCATCACAGTCCGCCTGTCGGTTCAGTGGTGGTGGGGGTGGTTGCTTCCGCTTGCGTGTCGTGGTGGGTTGTGGACCTGGGGGTGTTGTTGGAGTGTCGTCTGAGTCTTTTGATGGTGGTGCTGGTAAGCGGATGGGTGGTCTGGATGGTGCTGAGTCACAGGATGAGGTGGTAGATGGTAAACGTATAGGGTGGTTGGGCGGAGTTGGAAGTGGCTGAAAGTGTTGGCGGAAAGTGGGGTCCGCTTGGTGGCAGTGGTGGAGGATAACAGTGTGGAGGTGTGCTACAATATCTGTTGCTTGGCGGAGCAGGTTTTGCACCTGCGAAAGTGCCACTGCGGTTCTGTGTATGAGAGTTGAGGTGTCGTTTGGTAAAGGTGTCGGTGTGCTGCTCATGATTCTGAGATGTAGGGGTGTACAGTAGCTAAGAATCGTCACAGGTTGCTGCGGCAGCGCGCCAAAGCAGCCGGACAGCGGCGAGTCTGAGGGAGCGCGTCATCACGAGGCCATGCATATGAATTAAGCGAGCATCAAATTCCCACAGGCAAAAGTGCGAATATACAATGCCGATTGGACAATCAAGTACATGAGAATCGGACATATGAAATACTCCATCAAAACCGCCGGTACAATTCGATGAAAGATGTTTACAGCAAACACTGCAGAGCTGGAAAAATTGAGGGTTCAAAATTCGCGTAGCCGCTGCAGGTGGCGCTTTTTTGCTGCTACAGCAAAGGTTGGGTGGTGGTGTGAGACCAAAAGTGGATGTGGAGGTGGTAGTGGTGTGTAGATGTGTGGTAGTGGTGTTATGGGTCCGGTGGAGTGGAGTTGGTGGACCAGGCCAGTCCTTTGACAATGGCGTGGTCCGGGTGGATCACCCAGCAGCGGCCCTTCTGATGAAAGACTGCACCATGGTGGTCGTTAAGGAGGTTCATGGCGTGTTCCTCACCTCCAGAGGTATATTTTGTGGCAGCACCCCAGGCAAGGAGTGTGATGATAAGGGAATGGGAGTTCTTGTGGAGTTGCCAGGTGTTGTGGATGATGCGGGCAAGTTCGTTGTGGTCATGGGGTTGGTTGTGGGTGATGCGAACGCCCTGGGCAAAAAATCCAGGGTAGTTGGCAAAATGGAGTGTGCTGGGTAAAAATCGGCCTTGGCGTAGAATGTTGGAAATGTTGCCGACGGGGCCTGTGTGGCCTGCGTTGATGTGGGCGACTTCCCGGTGGGTTGATGTGGCGCGGGAAACCGCAGGTGGCTCTGGTGTAGTGGCTTTGGTTGTGAGGTAGGGAAGTGAAATGGCGTAGTACTGGAATTGGTCGTATTGGTGAGTTGTGTCGTTCCACTTGGCGTGGGTATATTGTCGGAAATCGGTGATCTCCTTGTAGGTGATGTTGCAGTCTGTGAGGATATTGGCAATGTACTGGTGTTGTGGTCGGTTGGGATTGTCGAGTTGGGTGGCATGGAATTCGAGCCAGTCCAGGATTTGGTCTGCAGGTGTAAAGGTGTGAAAGTTGGGTGGAGGTCGCCAACGGTTGATTGGGCGACGGAGGACGGCGGTGGTGGGAAATTGAGGAGGGTCTGGGTTGGAGTGTTCGGTGTTGGGGCGTAGATCAATGGGTTGTGGTGGCGAGCGGCTGCGGGATGGCGTAAGGCTGGAGGTGTAAGTGGATGTTGAAGGCGACCGCCGTCGCCGGGTTGTGCTGTGATGTTTGGAATGGCGGTGATGGTGATGTCGGCGGCGGTGGCGATGGCGAGTTCTGTGGTGATGGTCGGACTTGCGTCGGCTCTTGTGGTGGTGGCGGCGACTGCTGTGTGGTTGTTGCGGGGAAGGTGGTTGCGGTGCTGGTGAGGCAGTGGTGTCAGGTTTGTCTGGTGCTGGTAGTGAAGATCCAGGCGCTGGTGTGGCAGATACCAGCGATGGGGATGCTGAATGTTGGGATACGGTAGCTGGTGGGGGCGTGTTTTGGACTGGTAATGGATTGTCCTGGGCAGTCGTGGGGATGGGTTGGATTGGTGGTGTTGGATCCGATGGTGGTTGCTGTTGAAGTGGAGGTTGGGCTGGTGTTGAGGCGTTGATGGTTTGTGGAGGCGGTGGCGGGGGCAACGGTTGGAGTGGAGGCTGTGTGACGGGGGGAAAAGCTGAGTAGGGTTGCCAAACGCCTTGGGGGATGGCGCATTGGGGGTCTGTGGATGGATGATTGGCAATCGCAGTCTGTTGCTGTGTTGGAGGGGGATGTGTCAGTGTAGTGGGGGGAGGGAGTTCAGCCGGTGGTGTGGGATGATGTGGTGGCAACAGGTAGGAAGGGGGAGGTGCTGCTGTCGGAAATACTGGAGTTGGATGTGTGGGCTGCGGTGGCACGTGACATGGTTGGACAAAAGTCCAAGTGGATGGTGTGCCGTAGGTCAGTGCAGTGGCGGTAGGGTTGGATAAAAACGGTGGTGGTTGAAATGGTTGTGGTTGTGGGTGAGGGTATGCCGATGGTTGTGTCGGGGGAAAAGTGGGTGCAGTTGATGGTTGTGGCATCGGCCATGTGGGTTGAGGTTGTGTGGTAGGTAATGGTGGTGGCGTGGTGTGAGCGTAGGGCCACGGAAAATGCATGTCGTGGTCGTAGCTATGGCGCGGCGCGGCGCGGTAGCAAAAAGCAGCGGGGAAATGCCGAGTTGTATTGTCTTGTTGTTGTTGAAGGTGTCATCTCTGGTGTCAATGGTGAGTATGTTGTAAGATGGTGCGAGATGTGAGCTTGTTGGTAGGTGTGTGTTCATGCATCTCGAATTAAGCTGAAGAGCTGTAATGCCCATCCTTGAGTTCTGTCGATGAAAATTCGCGGCAGCAACATAGCAAACATAGAAACACGCACATGATTGGAAGACATGAAGAGAAAACTGAATGCTGAAATCTGAGATCTGAAAGTTGGAATCGGAAGCAGTCTTCAAGAACCGTTTTTTTGGCCCGGCGGCCGGTGTGGCGGTTGATTCTGTGAGGGTGTCGGTGCCTTCCTGTGAGAGTCCAGTGAGCGGTGGTGCGTTGGGGTGGTTGCTTTCCCATGCAAAATCGGCGCCCCAATGACGGGGATCACACTCAGCACCCGAGTGGGACGGCTGAGCGAAACACACTCTGACACTGGTTTTCAGTTAACGCAAGTCACGTTGAGAAGGAAGGTGAGAGAACAGAAAGGTGCATAGGTCCGAGCACTTGAAAGGTTTAACATTGTTGTCACAAAGGCGGCAGCGAGCAAATCAGCGGCGCAGCTGCTGGGGACGAATAGGTTTGTGGGAAGTATCATGCAAACGACCATGAATCAAAAAAGGAAAATTGGAGTAACAGCTTGTGGAGAAACGAGCAGGTACACAGGGATGATCAGTCCCTGCTTCCCCTTCTTGTCCATAGCTTCATTGCGTGTGGTAGGACAAGAAGGCCACACGCCCCTGCCTGTGTAAAGTGGAAAGAGTGGTGGTGAAAGACCCTTTGTCCAGGGTTGGACACACACACACACACACCCATCGCTTGGAAAATCCTTTCAACGCTGCTAATCGGACAGTCCCACCACCTTCTGCTCAGGCACTCCTCGACCACCTTCGGCAGTGGCATTTTTTGTACCGAGACCACCAGCGTGGCAAAGATCAGGCTGCCCTGATGGCCGTGGGTCGTTCATGGCCGGCTTTAGGGCCGCAACGCGGGGACGAGACCAGGCGAGGCGGCAAGCCCTGAAGTTTAGATGTAAACAGAGTGAGAACAAAAAGGAAGGAAGAGAACCAAACAAGGTTAAGTGACCTCATATGACCCATAACCTGGGGCACCTATGGGATAGTCTATAGATGTCTATAGGGTCCTTCAACCTCTCTTGGAATGGAGGGGGTTGATGCAAATCTAGGTATATATGTTCGTCAGCTAGTTCGCCTACCATGGCGGCCAGGTCGCTTCAGATGTAGCTTTCAACCGACAAACGTGAAAGACACAAGGCAAGAGTTGACAACTGTTGTCCAGCAAAAGTAATGGCAGGTAATAGCAAGTACTATATAGTAAGTAGTTTGAGTAATAGCAAGTGATATATGATATAGCAGTGCAAATAGACACAATAGCAAACATGTTGGGGCTCGTCATGGATGTTCTGCATCTTTATGCGTCATGTTGTCCGGCGAGACGAATACAATCAACATCCTTTTCAGGATCCAGGCATGTACACCTGGACATTTGCACTATGGTAGCGTACTGGACCACGTTTCTTTGAATCCCGATCCCAAAACATCTCAAGTTGTCCACGAAACCTGAAGGAAAGTGATCTAACTTTATTCCTCACCCCGTCCTGCTGGTGGCATTCGATCAGTTGAGCACTGGAATCGATCGTTTGGCCATCGGCCGACAGGATCACACTCCTTGGAAGCGGGAGACGAGAGTCGGAGCAAAGACCACATGGCAAACCCAAACACGACCTGTCTGGGACCTGGCATATTTACCACTCCAATGGGGCGGCAAATATGGCAGACCCATTACGGAGTGAGTGTCTGGGAAATGGTTATATACATGTGGTTGGGTCATGGAGTACCTATTTCAGACCTCTGTTTGACTCATGGTGTACTGGTATATCACCTGGATATCATCTGGCAGGTGCTGGAAGAGGAGAACAGGGTCAGGTCAGGGTCGGTGAGACAGATGGGAGATGAGAGTCCGTATACCACTGAACTTGGGGAGCTCAGGGCCTCCGGACCTGGCGCCAATGTCGGTCAAGCTCGCTCGCTACATATGGTGGACTACTTGGACTCATCTGGAGTCACGCCCCATCCTTCATACGATGAAAATAGCACCCAGTCGGGCTCCAGCCGGACTGGCTGGCACCCACCCCAGTCCCACCTTCAAAACGAAGGTGCGACTGGAGCCCTAGGGCCAGTCGAACTCCAACTGCCAAAGATCTACTGATTTCTGGGCTGATTTCTGGGCGCTGCACGGAGCGCAGGGATAAAAACGGAGCTCCGTGCAAGACCCAGCCGTTGTGGGTATCAACGAGATAGATCGACACAAATCCCCAACGTAAGAGGCAAATACGTCATCATCGGTCTAAGTCGAATTCAACCAATTCCTCCCAACAAAAAAGGGTCAACTAAGTTTTTGTTCTGCAAGCTGCTCCCTGTGGCGTGAAAAATGCTTGAAGTATCTTGAACTCATATTTTCAAAACTGTCCTTAGGGCTCCAGCATAAACCTCCTCAGAAGGTATTTGGACCTTCTCACAAGGTACTTGGAGCCTCAGGGTGTAGGAGCTTCCACCTCCCTGTTCTTGACCGATCGTGGACGTTAAACACATGTCCAACACAAATTTAATGAAGGCACACAAATCAACCACGTTCACCACCTCCAACTTCAATTGAACGTGTTCCAACTCCACCTGCATCCACCTGCATCCCCCCGCATCCCCCCCACCGCACTACTACGCGCGCCCAGGCGCAACGTGGGATCTGCCGACATCTGCGTCAACAAGATCCTCGGTGGACGCCCGCCCCCGAGTGAGAGAGGTCGGAAGCGACGGCCGCTGGAAGCGCGTTCTCACGAAGTGATCCAGCTCCATAAGTGTTCTCTAAGGACTTTCAATGAATGGTTATTCCCTGGTGAAGAACCACCACAAACCAAGGTGCTGCAAAATGAAGGTTCAGGCAGCGAACCTTCAAGTTGTGTTTGTTCAGATTCCAACACAGGCGGGGCCAGGGGGGTTCTCGAGGTTCTGGCGATCACGTGATCCGACCACACGCGCGACAAATACGCGCCCGTCGTGTGGGCCACGTGGCTGCTCCATTTGAGCATAGGGCATCCGGGGCGTCAGCGGGACCTCCACTTGGTCCCCTTCTAAGCCTCCCAGTTGACCAATCGATGGCGAGTTGAAGGAAGACGAAGGTTACCAGGAGCATCCGACCATCTGAGTGTCCTGGCTGGACTACCCTGTACTACCTAGAGATGTCCAGCCAGGACACCCAAATGGTCGGATGGTCCAGGTGGTGGAAGTAAAGAAGAACGAGACAATTGCCAAGGCCATTCCAGGGGTGTCCACTCCACTCCACTCCACTCCATACAGACTGCATGGTTCTTGGGAACTTCGGGAGGGCTTGGCTGCACAACACACACACACACACTCAAACCGCCTCACCCCCACCCGATACGGCGGGTATGCACACACCAGTCTGTCGAGTCTTTCAACATGATGCGAGTCACGTCACATGATGCGAGCGCGGCCATCCGTCTTTCAATGTGTCTGAGACTTCATGATTAAACGACTCATCATGATGGAGGTCACAGCGTCACAGCGCTTTGCTGTGTTTTTCTTTTGTATGCGCAATGTGTGTTTGAGGGTCAACCCATCTGTGGGTGGTGTATTTTGCCTCTTAATTTGTGGGGTTTATTTATGGGCTTGTATGCATGTTGGAAGCATCACGTGTTAGAGGGTTATGACAAAGCGACTGGATTTGTCCCTGGGAGGGATCACCTAGCCCGGTTTTCATGAGAAAAGCTCCAGGCTGCCAGGCTGCCCTGCCCACACAATCAGTGGGTTGGCTTGATCGGAATCTCTACAGAGTGGAGCAACTGCTTCCTGTGAACCAGACATCCCAAAATCAAGGTAATTTGACCATTTGACCCTACAACCCCCACAAAGAACTATTGAGTTACACGAAGTTACATGTCAATATGTGTTGAACATCCGTGGATGTTCAGTTCCTTTCCTCCCCATAGTGATGGGAGCAACAAAACACCTCGTCTTGCGGCATCCCGACTGAGACATCCCGTTCTCGGCCACTCTCCGCGAGCGCTCGGTGCACCTTTATGGATGGTCACCCAGTACGTGTCCTCCGAGTCATCCGTGAAGATCGTCGTCAGCAGCGAGTTCCTAGGGGTGGCGAAGAGCCAGTGTCTGGGAGACCCGCAGGATGGACCCGACGGATGGTGGAAGGAGCAGTGTAGAGCAGTGTGGAAGCAGTAGCAGTGTGGAAGCACCTGTGGACGCCTGGGGTTATGTGATGAGTAAGGAAATCACAACACATGACATCTGACTTGGCTGGACTTGACCCCCAAAAAAGCGTATGCACCCACACCCAACAAAAAGAGCCTGGATTTGGGTCGACCTGAACCAGGGCGGTGAGATTTGGTCCACTCCTTGAACATGATCATTTCGGTCAGTGAAAGACCTCCAACTATCACCCGTTGTCAACAACTCCCTCTATAGCACCAACCTTGTTCCCTCTGGACATAGGAAAGCACCAACCTGGTGACCGGAGGTCTACCAGTTCACCCCCTGCAGCTCGAGGCTTCGGTCGACACCGCCTCAAATGTCTAACCCGGGCTCCAAACCTCCTCAGGTTCGGTATGACTGGACCCTCATGGCACCAACCCCAGTCCCACCTTCTTAGAAGGTACTTGGAGCCCTAGGGTAAGTCTATTCTTTTTGGATGGTCCGCAGTGGTCACTGTGACCCCCGAATCATCTCAAAACCAACCAGTCTCTTGGCAATAAAGGCCAGTGTGGCCCACAAACGGCTAGTGGGTGCGCTTTGCACGCGCGCTCGCCTGAAAGAGGCAGCGGTTTCCCCTTGGGGCGGACATGGACATTTTGCTCCAAAGCATCTTCCGGGACCGGACGTTCGCACCCTCAAGAAAAATGGATACCATGACCTGAACACAAAACAGGGTATACTTGTACATCCCCATTCTCTCAGCATACTTTGTTTCCACACATCTACGGGGCATCTTCAAATATAACGCTATAATTAATTTATGACGAAAAGTACCGTATGACCGTATGACCATTTTGTGGGACTCGACTCTCAGCAGAGAAGCACCTGAGAGTCTTTTTCTGTCTGTTCCCGAAAACAAAGGTGTCCTCGGAACTGCGCGTGGGCGTGGCAGTGGGGCTTCATAATGTATAAGAACAATCTGCAACATTCTGAAACAAATTCATGCAAACATGCATGTCTTAAGACAGTCTCTTCAAAAATTCAAAAAATAATTCACCTCAACCCCCCGTCTCGCGGCTCGCGGCGTATCTTCCAGTACCGAGCGACGCGGTGGAGCTGTTCGCCGGGCCCATCGCGATTCTACACGCCGTTCGCTCAACACCGAGTCGTTCTTTTTTCGGGGCTTTGGTTGCTTCCTCAGTCCTCTTGATGTCGAGTTTCGCACTGAAAAGCCATCCGTTTAGAACATGACTCAATCGGTTGAAACAGCACTGCAAGAGTGCCAACGTGTGGTGTTCCAACGATGTCGCCACGCTTCGGCGAGCTGTCATCCTGTTGTGAAGGCTTCAGTGAGGCATCATCCTGTTGTTTTCAGGGTCGAGAGTTCTGATGTAGGACGACACCACTAGCTGGGAGGTTGGTATTCTGACCCCGCTGGGCGACACGAGAGTCTTCGACGACGTCGTGAAACTCACTTTTTTGCTCGAGCCAAAGGCGAGGAAAAAGAGTTGAGCAATCCTGCATCTTTCAGTTGCTTGCCCGTCTGATCATTGACCTAAACATGGAAGAATGGCCCCTTGTTGCACCATGACCGACCGTCCATGTGGATGCAGTCTGTCTTTCAATGCAAAGGAAGAAGCTTGTGATTTCTAGCGACAATTGCAGCACTACATGAAACTGGACCTGGTATGACCTGGTGAACATGGGAAGCATGGGAAGCATCTTCTGTTGAAGCCACAAAAGGCATGGGAATCCAAGGTACATGTCTCAGTGAACATGAGCAAATGGAATGAAAGGTGAACATTTGCCAAAGGCAACCTATGGTGTTTATCGATACAACTGAACAACTAACATGTATGTATGCTGCACCCGTCACAGGATTCTCCTGGTTGCCGTTCCAGCTGCGCCTTGGCCATGGAGCTTCCCTCGGCGAAAGGGCTCAGCGGCGCGGTAGCGAAGGGTCGAGTTCAAGAGGATCTTCGGCAAAAAAGAGTAATGAACTAGTAACGTGAAATTCATCATGACCGTCACCCAAACTCTCCAAAGGATGCACATCTGTTCTTTCGCATCACATCTGTTCTTTCGCATCGGGAGTCAGGACTGTTAGTCCTATGTGTCTGGGCCTTCTTTTTTTTGGTGCCTGGCGGTGCTCTTCGGCGTCACGGCATAGCGGCCGCAGCTGTGTCCGCTGCAGTCTTTCAGCTGAAAGGATGTGAGGCTTTCAGGGTCTGACTTATTATAGGATCTTATATAAGTCTTATAGGTAAGTCAGTCTGTTTCCTTTTTTCCGTGAGTAAATCACCCTCTTTGAGTCATCAAGCCCTGATGAAGAAACATGTTTGAATCGGGCTGAATCGGGCTGTGCCAAGTGCCGCTCCAGTGGCTAATGTGTTAATCCAAAGGATGTTCAAGGAGTCACAAAGGGGTGGTGCTTAGTCCGTAAGTGAGTGGAGTAGCTGGGCACCCCTCCTCCAAGTTTGGCACCCCATCTTGTCACTGGAAGGAATTATTTCTCTTGCGTCCTCGGCTCCTAAAAGTCTATAGAGTCTATAGCACCGGTGCCTAGACTATAACTCGGTCGATGATGGGCAGGTCTGGGTATCTCACGACCCCTAGGTTCGTGAGGGTCGCACGAACCAATCCATTCCAAAGCGATGTCAATCTAATTACAGATTATACATCTTTGGAGCAACTACTATGGAAGGCTGAGTCGTTGTTTATACAGTTCATCTACGCCTTTGGAGCATTTCTTCCTTTTGTACGAGTACATGTTCGGCTTGCAAAGCCACAAGCTGCAGGTCCCGAGGTCGACAGGTCACGAGTCGAGATCCCGTTCGAGCAACGGATTTCCAGTTGGGTCAGTCAACATTGAAAGATCTCGACTGCCAGGATCCTCCGAAAAAAAAAAAAAAAACGCTCCAGGCAGTGGATGTCCAAACAAGTAGAGTACTTAGCAGTAGATTCTTAGATCAATGTATATATGCTTCCAAATGTGAGCAATGTACAGCAAAAGTCACGATACGATGCAACGAGCGATCGAACCCAAGCTGCCGCACAAGTTTCCTCTCACACTTGAGCCAAACGAAGTTTGTGTTTGACTTCTGTCTCTGATGTCTATACAGCAGTGCTTTCACTCAAGGTTACGTGTAACGGTATGGCATTGTTGCCACTGCTATTCCAGAATGCCATTGCAAACTGCAATGCAATGCTTACATACAGCATCAATTTCCAATGCTACCAAGCAAGGGGAAAAGCTGGTAGCCAATGCTATCTCTCACATGTTACAAACCATGGTTCTAACCGAGGGTGGTTTTCTCCCCCCTCTGGAGCAAGGAACAAGTGTTCGGTGCTCAAGCTCAGACTTCCCTCGGCTCAAGCTCCGTTCACGAGTCTTACGACATGGCATGTGAGACATTCTTCATCCATGGCTGACAGCAGCAACGCGCCTCAAAGTGCGCCCATCTGCCATTACCTCAGCTTCTGCATTCGGTGCCATTGTGTATGGCGGAATGCGTTTCGCCTTCTTTGTCTTTCTTTTCTTCTTGTACGACGTGGTCGCCACTGTCGGGTTCGGAGAGGGCTCGAGGGCGTGGGTTTCCATGCTCGCGACCTTCAACCCAGTTTGTGTTGTTCTGACCACCTCATAGCCTGCTATCTGCACCTGGATGTTGTACAAAGCCAACGGCCAGTGTGGTGCCTCTAGCTGCTTGGTAAAGATGTCTGCTTTCTGCTCCTTTGTGCCTACGATCATCAGTTCGACATCTGGCCTATCCAGCTGCTCCTTTATAGAGCTGAGGTTGACCTTGTGCGTCCTCTTCAGATGACGGAGTTTCTTTGAATACCCTGCGGCACAAACCTTGGCACATGCCTCATTATCCTCCCGAATGCGCAGCAAGACCTGGCGTTGAAAGATGGCCGAGAAGAGCTCCGCTAATGGGATTCCCTCCTCAAATAACACATATGCCAATGCTACCGTTTCCGCTTCTGTTGTGCTCCGTGATGTAGATGTTTGCTTCTTGCTGCACCAGGCAACTGGGAACGAAGTTGCCGGGCCGGACAGCTGTAGCCATCCTCCTGTGGTGCTCTTTGTGTCCTCTTCGTCTCCGCAGTAGTCCGCGTCGACGAACATTTCAACAAACAAATCATCCATGGAGTCTCGAACATGTCCTAGCAAGAGCGCCTCCTGAGTGCTGTTCAAGTAGCAAATGGCCTTGTGCAAGTACACATCGCAAGCTAGGGTCCAAGCATGTACGCGACCAGCCAACCAAGTAGTCACCTTCAAGACATCCGGCCTGGCCAGCCGTGCAATCCACATCAACCGCATGAGAATGCCACATGCGATGTCCGCCAACTCACCACGCATCTCATCGTCTGCTGAGGTCTTCGTGACAAAGGGGCAAGTGGCCTCCTTCAGCTTGGAACAGCCGGTGGTCTTGCAGTACTCCTCTATTGTCGCCTGGGCGTATGCCCTCATGTCAAAAGCAAAGTACTCTTGGTTGTCAACCTTCACGATGGAGTGGTGTCTTCCTAGGAACCTACCAAGCGGTCCGACATCCTCAATCTGCACAAGCTCTGCCAAGTCTGCCCAGAAGCGGTCGTGTTGCCCACTAGGGCCCGACAACAACAGGTCGTCGACGTAGACCACAAGTGCCAAACCACCATACGACGGGAAGGTGAACACGCTGGCATACTCGGGGACAGCTATTGCGCCCATCAACTGCAGTTGTTTCTCCAAGTGAGCTTGCCAATGACTGCCGGCCTCTGGATGACCGTACAACGACTTCTTCAGCAATATCACTGGTCTGCGGAAGCGGGGCTTGCCGGAATCATAGTACCAGCTCTCTGGCCATAGTTCCTGAGGTAGCCTCACCCAAGTGCGACACAAGCTCTTCAAGTCCGACTGTAAATACGCCTTAATGGCGTCTGCCGATGTCGTGCTGTGGCCCTCAATCATTCCGTACGAGATGATGGCGTTCGCAGCGACTATGCTTGCCGGGCTTGCAGCTAGCGTCTGGTAGAAGGCGGCACGACCGTCAGCGGTCTTGGCATTGTCTCCTCTAAAGCAAACCCTACCCTTCAACGAGCGAAACGAGCTGTCCAATTCCATGTTCTTTTCCGAACAGATGGCCAACAGGTCAGCCAAATGAATGGTCTCGCCTGCCTGGTGTGCCTCACGTCTTACAGTTGCCTCCTCCGTGACCGTCTCAAGGTCCCAGGTCCCCATAGCACCTACCCCACGAAATTCCTTCCTGATCGCTTCCAAAGCGTCAGGACGGGCCAACACCTCGCTCCTGCCAAGCTGCCGAGTGACCAATGCGTAGACTCCTGCCGACATATCTTCCTCCTCTGGGCGGCCTTCTGGAGAATATTCCGGGCCTTCAACCGGCGGTGGTTCAACCCATGCCGAGGACGACGACGAGGAAGTAGTATGAGGGCCTGGTTCGGACTTTGGCATAGGAGTGAGAGCCGGAGTGCGTGGAACTGGGTCTCCGGTAGCGGGCGTTGGGGGTGCGCCTGCCTCTCTTGGGAACAAACCATCAAAACGCTCACGACATGCCTTGCTATGGCGGTAGTGTCCGCCAGAACAACCGGAGCAACCTCTGGTAAAACCATGCTCAAGCAGTCTTGCATACGTGATGTAGGCGTGCCTTGGCGGTGTTGGACGATCCTCAACAGGGAACGCATCAATCACCACATCATATGGAAGAACTCCGGATTCCAACGACCTGTTGTACTCAGCCTTCCGAAGCTCTGCGTCAGCATCAGTCATGCTAAACAAAGCCTGCCGTGCTGCAACTGCCAGTGGGAACTGGATGTGCTCAAGGGGTGGAAAGAAAACCTCTTTCACATACATGTCACGTGGGCTCCAGTGAAGGTGTGCCCGATTCCTCACATTCTCATAGTCCAGAACCTGAACTACGTCTCTGTAGCGAAGTCCTGCATCAACACGCCAGCCAACAAACAAGCCAGGTTTCGTGGTCGGCTCTGCCATGCCGTCGCCCTTCGCCCGGTAAAACACAAGGGAACCGAGGGGGTATTTGGGACCAGGAAACTCACTGCCTGTTGCAACATGCCAACGTGACTTGCCCTGCTTGAGCGTCTCAACATCGGTGCCTTTCTCATAATCTCTAACCATGCATGGAGTCCAAAATGCGCGTGCCTTTGCAGCAAACACA